AGTACTGACCAAGTAGAATCGTGTGGTAGCATTAATTCCGTGCGGAAACCAATGTAGCTTGAGATACAGGCTCCTAAAGTTATTTAATCGGAGGAAATTTCGATTGGTACGGCCCTGGCTGCAGCCCTTCGTCAGCTGTTCTCGCCAAATATGCATTGATGACGTCATTGTTTAGTTAGGTAGATGTATGACAGACTCGAGTTTGTTTAATGCCCCTGCCCGCCGAAGGCGGGCTGATACATTAGAATAATGTTAGGAAGATATGTTTTAGGACAAACGATGTTTGGCGGGAACAGCTGACGGAAGGCTGAAGCCAGGGCCGTACCTACCGGTATTTCCTCCGATTAAGAAAACTTTAAGGGCCTGTATCTCACTCACATTCATTTTTAAACAAATAATAAACAAAATTCTAGTAAATACTACTACACTACTTTACTTGGTGAGTACTACCTACCTGACTAAACTTCATGTCTCAATTCCGATGTCAACTAATGTAAAAAATTACCAACCTTGTTTATATTAAAATTCACTTACTTTAATATCTTTCTACTTCTATCTTCGAAATCGGACTACAAATTGTATTTACTGATTATGCTGTCATAATTGATTAATAAAACACAGTTTTTTTTTAAGACACGTTTACAAATGTAAAACAATTTTTAAAGACTTAATAAGGCAACATTAAAATTATCACTCATTATCACTATTTTTAATTCTCAATATTGAACCGAACATACCACAAAATAATGAAATTTGCATTTGATGTCAAATAATGTCAAATGTCAAATAAATGCTATGAATGGTTTAAATTTAACGGTTTTCAGTAATTAGCATAGTTTTTAACTAACGATAAAAGTTGGAAAACGATTAAAAATTCTACATTTACTTTTAATTGTTAACTGTATAATAGTACTATAAGAAATGGCAAATCTAAGGAATAATTTCCGTCGCAAGTAAGAAATTGTTTTTAATGAAATAATGCATTTTGTTATGTACATATATTACATTGAATATTTTTTCTTTTTAGTTGCGAACTGATGAGTGAAAATGATATCATGTCAGGAATATCCGATTGTTCGGATAGTAGCGATTCTCTAATACTACCATTAGATGATGTGAGTTATTCAAATGTTAAAGACATTTTTTTTTATTTTAAAATTTAGGTTAAACCTGTAAATTGTTTTCCGACTTCACGCCCACCGAACTTTACGAAATCGCAAATATTGCGACACTTTGGAGTGAGAGAAAAAAAAGAAATAGTTGCTAGTACTCCGGTTCATAAAATAAGGAAAAGGAAATCAACTGAATCATCACAAAGTTCCATTTCTTTGTCACCTATCCAGAAACAAAATTCAGTGCAAGCTTGCAATATTGTATCCATAAAGAAACCTGACTATCAAGGACATCTGCAATGTGCAAAACATTCAGATGATTGTGATGATGGTCTTCCATGGGAAAATGAAAAAGCAACTACTCCTGCTCAAGATGTAGAAGTCATTACGAAAAAGAAAAGAATTAGTTTAAAAGGCAATATTAAAAATGAACAGGAATCATCTACAATAAAGGAGAAGCAACAGTTTGGGGGATGATTAGTGATAGGCTGTCGTCTGACCAACAAGGGATATTTTTGGCTGTTGTTATTATTAAAATGATTACTTTTGTCTTTGGGTTCCGAATTCATATTTTACATTAGGTAACTTTTAATATTTACAGATAATAATTAACCGAACTTATGCTGACATTTACTACGGCAGACACCTTCACAGCAAATGCATTGCGAAAATGATATTAAAGTTTGTTCCTTATCAACAATTCCCCACATAAAATGTGTGTATATTTTCCTCTCCCTATTAAAATTTAATTACGGTGATAAGACGCAACTGTTTCAACAAATTGTCAGATGCTTCGTAAAATGAAGACGGCGACTTAAGTACTATCGTTGTAAGTATAAGAATAGATATCGGAAACATTTTTTGTTATTCAAAACTTTTGANCAGTCTCAGTAAGACGCCTACAAAATCGCCCTTGAAAATCTACGAATCGTCGGGACAACAATCATATGGACCACAGTCTTTTGACCCCAAAAAGTACTTCATCTTCAATAGCCAAGTGCCTATATTCAATAATAAATATGCAATACACTACAAAAAAATAAATTTGTTTTTATTAAAAATAGATCTGACTACAAAAAAGGAATCGGACAAAACAAGTTTCTTCGGACAAATTTTTGGAAGTGTCCCGCAGGATAATTTATTGCAGCCTACACAAACCAACTAAAAAAGTTCCTTGTTAATACAAACTTAGACTATTACAAATCATTCAAAACAAAATTATTCGTCTAATAAATTAATTATTAATTAGCGAATTATTTCTACCACATACGTTTTCATTACGGTCATAACCAGGATGAATTAACCGATTTAAAATTACCCATTTCTACATTAATTCAAATCATCTTTACGAATGACACTCTTCCTTTTTTATTAAAATTAAATTACCCGCCATTTCTAAATCTCCCTCTATCATATAAATTAGTAAACGATACTTAGAATTTATATGTAGAATTCTGTGGTGTGGTGGGGCGATTGCAGTTTTGATTTTGAGTCAACGGGTGTTTGACGATTTTGACAAGTAAAATTAGGTTCGGTTGTTTATTGGTTATTTACAATTAGTGAAGTGTAAAAATCTGTTTCAATTTCGTGAGGCTATTTTTGTTCTTCACTAATTTAGAACAGAATAATTACACAGAGCTGCAAAATGTCAAAAATGAACGATAGACAAAGTTATTCTCAAACTTACAAACTAGTTATTGTGGGTGGTGGAGGTGTAGGAAAATCAGCAATAACTTTGCAATTTATTCAGGTAAAGCTAAAATAGGCTATTTTACTCTTAGCATATCGTAAAATTATTACATAAACAGTAAATAGTGGTTGTTAGGTGCCTATTTTTAATTATTCTTATACAGTGTGTTTGTGCCTTTATAAGGAGTGAAGTGTACACTAACCTTGCCTAAATCTTATATGTATGAATAAATTGCTTAAAATTAGCATTAAGGCGTTTAAATTGTTGTTTTTTGTATTTCAGAGTTATTTTGTAACAGATTATGACCCCACAATTGAAGATTCCTACACAAAACAATGTGTAATAGATGATATCCCTGCCAAACTAGACAGTGAGTATAATTTCCAATTACTCATAAATCAGATATCACTGATATCACCCTTATTTCACTATTTATTTTGTTATTGCAGTTTTGGATACAGCAGGTCAGGAAGAATTTAGTGCAATGAGAGAGCAATATATGAGGTCAGGAGAAGGATTTTTATTAGTGTTTTCTGTTACTGAAAGATCTAGTTTTGAAGAGATTATGAAATTTCATAAACAGATTCTAAGAGTTAAAGACAGAGATGAATTCCCAATGTTAATGGTTGGCAATAAGGTAAATTTCATTAAATGTTATTGTCAGTAGCAGATCATTTTAAATAGTAAATTTTAGGTCGATTTAGAGCACCAAAGAGTGGTGTGGCAAGAAGAAGCACAAGCCCTTGCTAGACAATTGAAAATACCCTATATTGAATGCAGTGCAAAAATGCGCATGAATGTTGACAATGCTTTTTATGAATTGGTTCGAATAGTTCGCAAATTTCAAGCTTCAGAAAGGCCTCCATTGAAATCAAGTTACAACAAAAAGAGCAAGAAAAAATGCACCATACTTTAAATAAATAAGGTAGCTTTTTCTATATTGCACATCACAAGAAAGCAAAAAGAAAAATATTTTATTTTTATACACGTTAGAGATTTATTGTAATTGTATCTTATTTGTAATTTCTAGTGCTACTGTTTAAATCACCAGTAAAAAAATATTTTTGCTTTTAAGGTCTTATCATGAAAGAACAATTAATTGACTGGTTAACTGCATAATATAGGCACATTAAGAATAATCCCTTGATAAGATTTTCAAAGTATTCAAATTTTCAATTATTATGTACTAAATATATTACAGTTTTTTATACTCCCAAGATTACTGGAAAAAGAAATGTGAATATAGATTTTTATTTTACAATATTGCAAAGTAAAAAAAAAGATCTAACTTTTTCATAAATGCACAAGAAAGAACTGAAGATACTTTTAACAAAACCTTGTAAACTGTTTTAAATATGTTTTATGACTTTACAGCGACACTGCCTATTTTATTTTACTAGTCAACTTGCTGCATGTGTAATTCTATTTTTATACAGTTTAACTAAACACTGAAAATATAAGACAAAAGTATCGCAATTTTCTAATAGCACAATCAGAATCAATATCAAAGCTAAAATTCCAATTTTGTAAAAGTAGATTACAATACGAAAAAAAAATGTTCAAATTAAGTCAAAAAAAATATTTCCATGAATACATAAAATATTGAATTACCTTTAACATGTTTTGAGTGTATAATAATTAATCTATTAATAGAAGGACACTGCCATAATGAACATAACAATTTTCATATTGATGAACCAAAATCATTAACAAATTAATTATATTGATAGAAACACTAAAAAGGATTACTAAAAAGTGTGTTCATAAACAGTAAATAAAAATCTTTCCTTTAATATATATATATATATACTGT